ATTTACCAATCGGGACGTCTGTTTTTGTCTCGGTATGTGGGATCTGGAGCTTCGTCGTCAGTCATTGCTTTTTCCCGAAGTTCTCGAGCCTGCCTGTTTCTATCCATGTCGGTCAAGGAACCCGGGCTCCACCGAGTTAAGCCAAAATACGTGTAGTTCGGTGATGTGATCCCACCCGATCATGCATGTAACCTATATGAGACAACATTGTTCAGGTTACATGCAGATGTTGCGTTCAGTTGATCCAGTAAGCCCTAGGGTCTACCGGAAGACCACTTCATACGATTTACCGTTTGTGTCAAGTCTTCCCATGCAGTGGCAGAGCTTGGACCATACAGAGGTTCAAGGCTCGGAAAGGTTCACTAATTGGTCATCGGTAACATACAGCTGATGAAACGTATTCCATCACTTCTCATGACCACCTCTGACCTCGTACAAAGGTTCACACATCCAACACCGGACCCGAATCCCCGTAAACCGGATCTTTTGCAAACCACTCGAGCTTGCTGATGGCCGCAACCTTGCTCTCCTCCCCCTTCTTGCCATAGCACATGTCCCAATGACAACCGATAGGATAGCTCCCCACCATCTCGAACCGTCCATGGATATCCTCTAGCAGCCGATGGGATACCCCAACAGGGACCACAATGACATCTCCCTTTTCCACCACCGGTTCGACACGGCCCTCATTCTCCTCTCCTCCAAAGCACAGCCTTGCCCGCCCATTGCTGATGCAAAGCAGCTCATGGGTCGTGCTGTGAAAGTGAGACGTGCTGTACATGGTAAATCGCCATTGCGGCTGGACGACGCCGACTGAGGAAAGATGCGCCTCTATGGAGGACGCACTTGCAGATGGGAAGGCGGAATGGTAGATCAACAATGGCTTGTTCTGGATGCTGGTGTTTGGAAGCAAGCCATGTGCCGGGATGAAGTGCTTGGAGACGCGCAAAGACGAAAGCGGCGTCAGTGAGAGTCTAGAGCTCATTGTAGGCTTTGTGAAGAGTTTTGTAGATTGTATCGAGAGTGCTGACGCAGTTATAGCTTCGTAAGTTGGACTGGCGAAATTGAAGACGACTCCAGGATAGGTGAAGTTGAGGGAACGCAAGTGTGACGTCATATGAGCGGGTTGTGAGTGCAAATGTCATGTCTGACGACTTTCATGCCTGAACTCCCGTTCATCGCTGCAGCTCGTTCATTGAGAGATATTGTAAGATTAAACGAAACCTAGAACAGATAAAATGAGGTAACCAAAGAAGCATTGAAAACAGATGCACAAAGTGAGTTCAGGGGTCACCCGAAGTCCAGCCATGAGAACATGACGGGGAATAAGCTTACAATTCTGTTCTTCAAATTCGCGACTACCGATCCCTGTGTTGCTGCCGCTGCAGGTACCAAATGCGGCATCTGATATTACCTCTGATTTTTCCTCCCTCGAATGAACAGGCTAGTGGGCATTTACTACTCCATCTTCATTCGTAATAGAGGAAACCGTAAATCCTACTGATGCGCAACCAATCAAGACAGTCCAAGACACAGTCCAAGACCTCAGCGCCTGCAATTCACGCCGAAATAGGTATCCAACGTAAGACCACGATAGGGGGCCATGGCCCTGCATACTCCCCATCAAAGCTGACGTGTCTATTCACTTAGTACTCCAGGCCAAAGTTCTCTATTCAGTCCGTAACGCCAAAATCCGATAACCCGGCAAAATATTGTCATGCAACGTCTTTCCAAGACTCTTGGATCGACGCCCAGTACTTCTCGGGGTGCATGCGCATGTGTCCCACGTGGTCGCTGTCCTCAAACACCACGGCCTTGTGCTCAAAACCCGCCTTCTCTCCTAAGGCGATATTCTCCTCAATCTCGGTGTACGAGATGATCCTGTCGCTCTTGCCGTAGAAGTACAACCTGCGCAAGTTCTTTGGCACATACGTGATGTCGTTGCACGCCTTCATGCTAAACACGGGAGCCGGCTCTGAGCCTGTGGCGAGCTGGTAGCCACGGTGCACCGCCAAGAGAAAGCCGACAATCGTTTGCGTAACGATGTACGGCAGCGGGACAAACGGCGCAACGGCCATCGCAGCCGCGTTAGCCCAGCGCTTCAGCGTCTCCCAAGTCATGTACGGGCTCCCCGGCGTCGAGTCCCAGACAGTCAGGCGGTGAGGCATCGGCTTGTTGTATTTGTCGCGGTACGCCTTTAGGGCGGAGGCGTAGTTGATGGCGCCCGTGTTGGACATGCCGTGCGTGAGGACGGCGTCCTCGTCGGGGGTGCCGAGGACCTCGGGCGGGTAGGCGGCCTCGACGACGGGGGCCATGCTGGCGGCGCGCTGCTCCAGGCTCTCGGAGATGGCCTTCACGATGGGTGAGAGGACGGCGATCTGTTTAGCGTGCGGGTAGAGTTTGCTGTAGCCCTCGATGTATTTCACGACGTGCTTCGGTACGGCGTCGCCCCAGCTGAAGATGATGACGACCCGCGGATGACCGGAAGGGCGCGTCGTGCCCTCTGCGAGTTCCTCGCCGTCGCGGACGAAGACTTGATCGTTGATGGCTGTGAAGCCGGGGAACGGGGCTGCTTTCGGTGCCATCGTGAGTGCTTTATTTTACCGACAGAAATGCAGAAAATGAGCGTAATTTGATCTGTGAGCACTATCAGTGATTAAAGATGAGAACAGAGTTCGAAGTGCAGCGCGCGTCAGCAGGGAATGGCAGGATTCATATGTTGTCGATGGCCAAGCAGAGACTTCCTGATGAGTGATCCGCTCCATCTCGGCGATATCTTATCAAGGGCTCCGAACCCAGTGCCAAGGGAACGGGTCTACGCGGCGGCGCCGCATTGTTGGGACACCGTGGATCCTACGGCCGTCTGTTGGGACTGAATCGGAGCATTTGTAGCCTTACGAGTGTCTTAATCTGAGATGGACCGTGGGGACTTCAGTCGAGGTACGGCGCGTACAAAAGACGCGGCATCTCTTAATTCGGCAGCATTGTCCGTGTTTGTCAAGCCCCCTTTCTCTTAGTGAGTGGCTTGGATGAGGTGAGATTTTTTGAGTGAGAGCGCCACTGAAATATGAGCTGGCCAATATCAGTAAACATCCGATCCCGGCCCACTTACCGAGGCAGAAGGACTCACCGTTAGCACAAGCGCAGGAGGATTCAGCGGACGATGGCAGAGTCAGGTGACAGCCTTAGAAGCCGAGGCACATCAGAGCGGGATGTCGGTCGAAACAGCTGCCGACCAGCCAGAAGAGGGCGGAATTGGAGATCCAGTCCGCTGAATCGTAAACGACGGCCGCGCTGTTCCAGAACGTGGTCCACTGTGGCCCCTGTGTTTTGGGGGAGGAGCTTCCCCGGATTCTAGTGACGTGGGATGCATCTTCAATTGCCATAGCTTTCTTCATCTTCATAGAGACTGTATTACTGATCCTTTGAGCTCACGACTATCCATTGTACCCGGTACTTCTATATTCCTTGATTCATTGATCGTTTATGTGGCTGTATCGAGCAGAATAGTCTTCAACTCATCCTTGTGTTCTCCTCCTCGGGGTGTACCCTCGACCTTCATCCAGCCAGCTCATCTTACCTGCGACTTCAAATGGCATCCGCATCAGAACAGCTGGTTCCCTTCAACGATGCGACCCAGGTAACAAAAGTAGACTCAAACGTCTATCTTGCCAATCTTGCATCTGCCTGGTGCATAGGCTCAGGTTCGTAGTTGGATGCGCACATCTCACTCAACCCATCCCATCTGACGCAGCTCTCGCAGTACCAAACGGCGGCTACGTCGCCTCCGTCATCCTCCGCGCCGCGTCCCTCCACCTCGCCGCGCGCGGCCAGCCGGACACCATTTCGGCTCACTTCGAGTACCCAAACCGCACAGAGGTCGGGCCGGCCATCCTCATCGTCGAAGAGGTAAAACTCGGCCGCAACCTGTCAACGGTGCACATTACCCTCTACCAGCACGAGCTCCTCCCGTCCGCGCCGTGGTTCAGCGCCAAGTCGCGCAGAAATGTCCTTGCCTACCTCACCAACGCGCGCATCAGCCTCGAAAAGGGCCTCAGCCTCGACAGCGGGTGGACGATGGCGCCCCCGCTGAAGCCGATGGACTTCGCCGCGCTCGGCTTGGACAAGGACCCCCACTGGTTCCGACGGGACAAGATGACGGCCCGCGCCGTGTCGTTCGCCCGCGCGCACAACAACCTCGAGCACTACGTCCCGCGCGAGGGCGTGCGCCGCGGCATGGCGGACATGTGGCTGCGCTTCAAGGCCGGGCAGAAGTTCACGAACGCGTCGCTGGGCTACATTGCCGATGCGTATCCGACCATCGTCGAGGCGTGGCGGCCGCGGCGCGGCGAGGAGCAGACACCGTTCCGGTCGGATGAGATGTTTTGGTATCCCACGCTATCGCTGAATCTCGACGTGAAGAGGGCGCTGCCAGAGGAGGGCGTTGAGTGGTTATTTATCAGGTGTTTGGCTAAGGTCATTCGGAACGGAAGACTAGACCTAGAAGTGATCATCCTAGATCAGGACCAGAACGTGGTGGCTTTGAGCAATCACGTCAATATGGTCTTGTCTGCCGAGCGAAATCTCATGGACCGGAGTCACTCGAAGGAGAAGCTGTAGCGGCAGAAGGTGGATATTTGTAAAGCTGAAAGATGATCGTGCCGTAGAGGGGCAATAGAACTGGCGTTTTGGCGTTCCACAACACTGTCAGATCGGTTGCGCCCACTCCCACAACTAGACCAGGCCAATGACATAGATCCAGTACAATTAGACCGCTGCTTGTTAAGTCGTAACTCGGCCAATCTTTATACTTCAGCTCATTTTTTCCACTTGCCTTGGTGCTCTTATGCTCTCCGTTCACTTCCCCGGCTGCGGTTCAGGGCCTTCGGTTCACGATCAGTCCCACTCATGACCCGCTGTTCTCATCATCGTGCATCTATCAGCTGCAACCACACCGTCTCTGACCAACCATTGGTTTCTGTCTACAGAAATCCGATATCGGCTCAATGGTCTAGTGGTATGATTCGCCCTTCGGGTGCTTGTGCAACATCACAACCCTTCCGCACAGCGGGAATGGGCGAGGTCTCGGGTTCGATCCCCGATTGAGCCCTCGCAATCGTTTTTGATTTTTGCTACAACTGTGAACCTAGCTTGCTAGGCTATCTCTGCTCATAGAGCTTCTTATGTTTTAAGACGACTAATGCTAGCTGTATTCTATGGTAAAAAGATCTGGTTGCAGAAGGAGGGCGACGTGGCTAATTAGATTCAATTGAATTTTCACGTTATGTGAGGTGTATTTAGATTACGCAGAGCTCCGAATAATCTAGAAGAGGTTTTCCAGTGTCCTATTAAGGGGTAAACGCCTTGGGTCCTGCAGCCACGGGCGCTAAGATGCCATGCAGCGCCAACTCTTCTATGAAGTTGAAAAGAACAAAGTCACATCCCCTCTTTACAACCATGTTGATGGTCACGGGCATCGACACCTCCTGATGAGTGACATTACTGTAATACGACACCTGTCCAATCGGAATCGTAAAGTCTGCGCTGCCAAAGTATGATGCCAGGATCGATCCAGCCTCCTTGGACCCGGTGGCATCCGGAAGTGCTGCGCCAGGCGAGTCGTTCAGGTAGGCCTCTCGGAACGACGGCAAGCCGCCTGTGCCGATATCGTAGATCAAGATAGATTCCGAACAGCTGTCTTCCGTGCTGAACAGGACCTGGCTGTGCCAAGCCTCCGAATCGTCGTGTCTACGCTGTAGCGCTTCGGTGTGTTCTTTGGCGTCTAGTGTGCGATTCCACCAGGACGAACGAAACGGTTGATCCAACGCAGGGAAATTCGGGCTGAGATAGTCGAGGAGGGGTGTGGCCACGACCTTGAGCTGTGTGTAGGTCCAGAGAGTTCTCAAATCAGTCAGAATGCCATCGTAGACACGCCCAGTGACGCTTTCAACTTTCTCGGTGACGTTGACATTCTCAATTGACAGGCCCATGGTCTGCGTGACTTGATCCAAGAAGCTTTGAAGGACGACCTCCGCGGCTGGGTTCTTAAGGGGAAGACGATCCGCAGGGTAGAGGATGCGTTTCGGAAAGCTACGTGCATTAGGCACTTCAAGTTGAGGAAGGTCGTTGAGATCGCTGCCTTGATGAAGTGCGGGATCGTACCAAACCTTGGCGGATTGGACCCAGTCTCGAGGATCTCTGGCAAACACACCCGCAGTGTCAGTTCCGTACGAAATCGGCATGGCCCCAGTCAAGTCGATGATTCCTTGGGAAGGGCGGTTCCCGTACACGCCTGCAAACGCCGCCGGCTGGCGCATAGACTGGCCAGTGTCGGAGCCGATCGCAAAGTCCAGCCACTCATAAGCTGCGATCGAACAAGCGCCGCCGGCAGACGATGCCGAACAGCTCAGATAGCCATCCCCACGAGGGTTCTGGGGGTAGTAAACGTCGGTCCATTCCCAGGCGTGGGCTGCAGACGCAAACTGAGACGTCTTTTGCTTTCCTACGACAACGCCCCCGAGGTCGATGATGCTTTGGATGGATGGGGCTGTTGCGTTTGCCTCTCCTATCATACTCGTCCAAGCCTTGCTCCCCAGTGTCGTCTTCAGGCCTTTGACATCGTAGATGTCTTTCACGCCAACTCTCTTGCCAGCTAGGGGCCGAGTGTCGACTTGAGTGTACAGGCGCGATGGAACGGGAACTAGCGGATAGCCCCATTCAGGATCGACGAGGTTCAGAATCTTGTGTTCTCCATCTGATTCGTAAACGCCATGTACGAAATTGCTGTAGGTATCTGTGTATAGGCGAAAGACTTTAGATAGTTTGATGCTTCCTTCGCCGGATTCTAGAAGCACTGGTCCTGGAGGGGGTGCCGATGATGTCGAGTTGGTCGAAGCAGGCAAGAACAGGATCTGTGACCCGATAGACTCAATCAAGCTGCGTGCGGTAGCATCCAGCCCTGAGGAGTAGTTCGAGCTGATGATGATGGTCTCAAGAAAGTCTTCGGTAAACACGTCATCCTCGGCGAGGTACCTATCGAAAGTATCCTGCAGTAACTGAACTGTAATGAGCGGGCTTGTGGCAACAATATGCGTCGCCGCGACGGTGACCGGCTTGTAGTTCAGGGGTGCCTCCAACAGGGGTGACGCGGATGTCGCTAGAAAGCTGCTGTTCCCCAGCTGGAAAACAAAATCAAGTCCATTGATTGCCTGGACGGGGGTGAGCGGGCTTCGTAGAGCCAGGGCACTGGCGATGCCAGCCAGGCAAACCAATTGAAGGCCTTGGCTCAACATCAGCGATAAGTCGAACGGGTGCTCTGCGTAGTCAGGCGTGGCGCCATATTGGTACGGGTAGATAGAGCCATCTCCAGCGTATAAATACATCGTAGTTGTCGGTAGTGCTTGGAACTCGGTGGTGAGCGCTGATCCTGTTGTGGGTGAATATTCCACAAAGCCAAGGAATCTAGACGTCACTCGTGGCGCCTCCACTGATAAGACCTGCATGTCTCAAATCAGACGAACATGCCGTTCCCCGCTTGTCTGCTCCGACTCCGGGGCCGATGAATGGCGTTTGAGCGCCGATGCAACGGACAATCTCCACCTTTTCCCATATCCGTGCGGAACATGTATTCCGCTTCCGCCGCTCGGCGTCGACTGGTCACTGTGAAGTCCAAACACGCGAGATCCTCACGTCGACTATGACCTCAATCAGACGATATAGGACGGGCCTTATCTCCTTTCTTACATTATCTTGGCTGTCACCGTTACTTCCTGGGCAAAGGTCTCTCGGGGACAATCTACCAACGGGATGGATTACCTACGTGGACGGGACAACTCCAGCAAAGGACCGACTGGCTGGGTCCATCATCAATCCAATAGGATTTTCCTCTCTCTCAGTCAAGTGTTTTGTGAGACTAAATTCGTAGGATCGAAATTTGCGAGTCGATTAAATGTAATAATCTGCTCTGAAAAAGTTGCCTGTACACAACCAGCCGCACAGGGTAGCTTGAAGCAGATGGGCACACGTAAAATTCTATGTATGAAAGGGGGAGGCAGGATTCTCCAGAACAGATTTCATCTAGTCCGGATGAGCAGAAAGTAAAATGTGTGTAATCGCAGCAGTAGTTTTCATTCGCCAGCCTTATCCTTTGGGGCTGAATTTCTGTCTCATTTCCAAGCCATCTTCATCTGACAAGCTTGATCTAACACTTCGTATTTCCTAATAGGTCCAGGCGTCAACTTGGCAGGGCGGCGTTTATCCTATCAATGCGCGAACTCAGGACGCCTCTCTCACCCAGAGTCTGAAATAGCACGCAGCGAACACGAGCTGAGTTAGGAGTCTCAGATGCAGGGAACAGCACAGAAACCCAACGAATCACATTGTTCATGACCATGACCAGACCACTGAAGGGTATGTGTTTTTAAGTGTGGCGCAAGGAGACATTCAGCTGCCAAAACAATCCATAATATGCTGCTCCCACCCTTTCAGTCCGGAAAGCCTTATGTTCTACTGCTCCCCAACACGCATCATGGCCCCCACTAGCCCAAGTCCTCAGGTATCGCCAATTGATGGCGATCTGTCATCGGCACCGTTTCTGCACCGCGTGCCATCCCAGTCCGAGGAAGCTGACAATGATACCGACGAAGGCCCGATACATTGCGATCATGAACGTCAGAAAGCCATGGCAAATATTTCACCAAAACGGGCCCTAATCCTTCAAGTAGGAAGCTACGCACGCGTTCCTTCTTTAGAACCCTGTGTTTCATCGAAGGTTCCAGCCAGCATCACGAAGGAAGATGGTACTGCGCCCCACAGGTGGGAAGGTTCCTCAGGTGAACAGCGAGGCGCAAGAGCAGCTTTGGAAGTCTGGGCGTTTGAGGTCATGGCACTTCTAGCGTCAGTGATAGCTTTCACGACAATCTTCATCATATTGTCCGCCTATGATAAGCAGCCACAATTCGACCTGTCACGAGGGATCAATATCAACACGATTATCGCCATTCTGTCTACGATTGTCAAAGCTACCCTGGTTTTTGTAGTGGCTGAAGGTACATATCCCCTATCATGAGCAGTCAGACTTCAGACTAACAGAAATAGTCGTCGGCCAATCCAAATGGGTCTGGGTAGACAGTCCCCAGCGGTTGCGTGACGTGGAATATTTTCACGAAGCCGGCAGAGGGGCATGGGGGTCTCTCAAATTCTTGTTCAAAATGTGGAAACCGTAAGTCACCTCGTCACACAATCTTTCTTGCATCATCACTAAAGGATCACATAGAATGACTACTGCTCTGGGAGCAGTGGTTATCGTTGCCTCTTTCGCTATCGCTCCTTTCTCTCAACAAGCTGCAACCACATATCCGTGCGAGATCGACGTCGAAGGAACCGCGTCAATTGACGTCGCCCAATGGATTGGAACAGGGGCTGACGGTAAAATGCCGGTCATAAGTTCGAAGACCCATGTTGCTGCCATCACGGGTCTGATATACGGTCCATCCATCTCAGCAGCCGGCCCGACGGGGTTTCAATGCGAGTCAGGGAATTGCACGTTCGACGCAATCGGAGAAGTAACACATTCCTCGGTTGGCATATGTAGCAGATGTGACAAACTGGTCGTCCGCAATGAGACGAGTGAAAATCGCACAACGTTCTCCATCGATAGGACGGATAAGAATACGACATCTCCGAGGCCGAACATAACCTGGCCCATGAGCGAAGGTTCAGACGTTTTTGTTATGGACTCCAATCAGCCGCCGCCTGGCTCAAAGGAATCGGAGCGCGATTTCGAGACATCGTTCCTCTCGTTGAAGATAGTGGAATGCACTGAGGGAATGTCTTTCTACGAAAAGGGGTCCCGACACTGCGGCCAAAGTCCAGGGCTCACTTCAAACCAAGATGGCCAGGGTTTTGATGTTATAGGAGCCAAATGTCGACTCTATCCATGCTTTCGCAATTATCATGGGAGCATTCTTAACGGGAGATTGCACGAGCAAGAAATCTCCTCCGTAAAGATGGATATCTCAGGTGTTCAATTACGAGGCGCAGGAGCATCCAACATCACAATTTATCAACACATTGTCGAGCCGTGCATTGTCAATGGCAGTAGGTACGATG